TTTTACGACTGCTTCACACAGCCGCGTGTTGCGTCAAGTTATTGCAGTGTCACTGACTTTGTTACAAACTGCTCATTTTTTTATTGGCAATGTATTTTTGTATGCGTGTTTTACTTCATTGAAAAGTTGAATCGGTTTTGCACATCATTACTTAGTCATTTGTCAGGAGGCAAGAACGTGTCCTAATTGCTTTTAATCATGAAATCACCAGTTATAACATCCGTAATGAACGGTGCAATTAGTTACACATCTGCATGCGTGTAATGCCTCTCCCTAGATTATGAACATTAAGATATCAAGGCCCCGTCAAGGTAACGAACTAACGTAATATTTTCATCTATGCGATTTGTAAACATCTTCGAGAGCGATCCTTGTTTGCGAACGATAATTCGTCAAAGAAACGATAAAAGTCTTTTTAATATTCGGACATTCACCTGCGAAAACTGCTTTCAACGCAAAAGATCAACAGCAACAAAAGTTAAGTATCGTTTATAAATCGTGTTATAAAAGATCGTTGAATGTCAGCACGCTGTATGACGTATACGCGGATGTTAATAAGACTGCGCGCGAGTCTCCACATAGGCAGTTGGTAATCAGCTGAGCTAAAGGTATTGCACGAAGTAGCGTAAGACACGTTATAGTGGCAATTGATTTTTTCTTTCGCTATATACCGAAAACAACGAAGCACAAGCTTATCCACCTTCTTTTCTGTTCTTTTACCTTTCGCGCGCGTAAACTTTGTATTATCTGCTCGCGACGACAACAGTCGCGAAATCAATAATAATGATTCTTCTTATTTCTCTTATTTGTAACTTCAGCCAGGAACTGAATTTTTCACCAATTTTATCGACTCGATACATCGCTCACTTTTTCCCTTCGTATCGCGATAATCAATTGAGCGAGGTGTTTACGTTTAACCACGCGAGTGCTCATTCAATTTTTTCGACGCTCGTCAAACATTTGCTCCGCGAACGTACCCTAAAATAAAAATCAATGTACTGCTAAGAAGCCTTTTAGCTCGCAAAAGTACGATACTTCCAGTCCCAGTTATATCGCACGAACGACACGTAAAGCCAAGTTTCGGGAAGCTTGCACTTAACGTTGCATGCTGTTCTTTTCTTATCGTTCTCGTTCTCTCTCTCTTTCTCTCTGTCTCTCTCTCTCTTTCTCTCTGTCTCTCTCTCTCTCTCTCTCTCTCTCTCTCTCTCTCTCTCTCTCTCTCTCTCTGTCTCTCTGTCTCTCTGTCTCTCTCTCTCTCTCGCTCCCTCGCTCTCTCGCTCTCTCGCTCTTTCTCTCGATATCCCGTTGCGCGTCAAAGCCGGCAATCATCGACGCATAAATCTAAACAAAGGGAGAGAAAGATGAACCGCGCAATCCAAGTTTAAACGAGCAATTGTTATTTTCATTGAGGACAGTTCGTCACACCGTCAAAGCGAATCGTGCAATTTTAACGAATCAAACTTGTAATGCACTCGCGATTTCCTTCTTTTTTGGCACTCTCCGTAAACTTTGCTAATTTTAACTTACAGCTGGCCGTCCTCGTAATTACTTTCCAAACGAGGCTCTCTTTCTCAGCTGCTGTCTAATTATGCGCACCGAGGATATAAAATTGTATTTTTAATCGCACTTTATCTGGGTTACATTATTACAGTAGGCTATAGACGATACGAACGCGTTATTAGAAATAATAGTTCTGTCGTCGGGTTTGAGAAATTTTTCTCGTGGAAATCATGGCTTGTTAACTCGATCGAAAGAGCTTAGCTGTGGGAGCGAACAGTTAACTGTGTCGATGATGCAAACTCGATTGACAATTGTGTCGTTATGGAGGTGGACGCCAAGCTATATTTGAAAGTACAGCTTTTCATTGACGGTATTTGTCTTTCTTTCGTTATGCGAATGGTCGGAAAGAGCCGAGAGCGTCGCGGTTCTTTCTCGACGGAAAGACCAGCCGGACAACCAGCTTTCCACTGGTGGATTTCGCAATGCGTCCAGTCGCGCCCACGTCCGCACATGCCTATATGGCGATTTTCACAAGAGCAGCGTCGACGAGAGAAACCAAGCGGGTTTTCGGTCGGCGATAAACGCGCTTTAATGTACGCAAGTGGTTGCATAAGCCGCCGGTGCGTGCGCGCAGTCGATCGCTTTCTCGCGATCGCGACAGGTTTCGGGGACACCGACCCGTTGTCATCCGTCGTTCGTGTGGCTTCGTGGCGTTTTTCCTCTCGCTGGACCGCGACTCGAAGTCATCGACGTTGCCGACGCGTCAAAAATTGGAGTTGCTCGCTGCCGGGAACGTGAATTCCGCGCCAACGGTCGAATGGGAAAATCAGAATTGAGGTCGTTGCGCGCTACTTCACCTTGGTTTCATTGTTTTCACGCGGCTAATTCCGAATTGTTTAGCTGGCAACGTAGCAGTTTTAATCCGAAAGAATCCCGCTGACGCACGGAGCTCGTAAAAACGCGAAGGAACGGTGATCGTTCGACCGGAGACCGAATAGATTTAGGTGTTGGTCGCCGACGCCGTCGCCGTTATCTCCAAAACAGCCGCGCGAAACGTCGATCGCGGACTCTTCGACACTTCCAGCTGCGCTCCCCGTTCTCGTTATTTTTCCATCCTCCGCGCGCGAGCGCAAAAGAAAAGCCGACGTTTCTCCCACGCGCGTCAATCAACGTTGTGCGCGGCACGTGAGATTTATTTATAAAGCGCAGGCGGCCGACCGCTCGATGACCGTCATTCCGTTTTATTTTTCTTTTTGCCACGCCAACCAGCCGAGTGCATAGCCGTTGACACTTGACTTACTCCTTTTTCCGCAGTCGGCGTTATAAAGGCCGGTCTATCTATAATGAGCTGGCCACTGGTGTATTTTCGGATTGCGAGCTGTCTTACTTTTAATTGTGATGGCGCGAGCTTCCTAGCTCATCGATTTTGCAATTGTACGGGCAATCGAATATCCGCGAGCGTGTGAGGCTCCTCCACGCGAGACTTATGTTTTATGCGTTTGATCGAGACTCGGGGCGCGACCGGGCGACCGGGCGACCGGGCAGCCGAGCAGATCGATGTTATCTTAGATCCGACGGTATTCCGGCTTGATTATTGATCCACGCAACCACCGACCATTACCAAAGCCGTCCGGCAATATCGAGCGCCGATGAACGTTCCACCGAGTCGACGAAGGGGAATCCCTGGCCCGCTCGAGCTTTGCACGAGTCCAAAGTAATCGGCTTCGCACTTTTATGCTGGCGCGTCACTTGTGCGTGCACGGCGAGGCCGCGACGCCTTGTGCAATGTTTCTTTCGTTTTCTCGCAGAGACGTTTGCAGCCCGAAAACGTACGTAAAATCCACATCTGAGAAGAAAAACAAATCGCACTCGGGAGACCACAAACCTCGTGCCGCTCGCGTGGTTGATCGGCCGTTTTTTTCTTCCCCCACCGTGAGCTTCGAGCAGCCCTTGATTGATCCTACGCTTTCCTTCTTCGCCAATCAAATATCGATCGCGCGCGTGCACGTTGACGGACGCGACGTCGAAAATAACCGGCAGAGCACTTGTTTTGTTTCCGCTGCCGAAGCGCACGATAATGAGCCGCGCACGCGCCGGCAATATTAGACCGATCAGGCATCGGATTACACGTAAGAATTGGTTTTCCGTAAAAGCGAGGAGGAAGACAGCGGAAAAATGCGGAATGGGGAGGAAACCACCGCTAGCGATTGCAGCTGCGCAGAAGCCACTGCGCACGATCGCACGAATTTACCAAATGATAACAGCATAATTTGAATTACTTCTGAATCATAAATAATAATCAATAACAAAATATAATTTAGATTTGTTTTGTTGCAAACAAATCATGACGATATATTTTCCACCGACACATTTCAAAAATAATTATGATCGGCTACTATACAATTGATCCGTAAAATTATTAAGTAATTTTTTGCAACAGAAAATTGAAAAAATACTATGAAAAATATAACGCAGTGATTTGTTTACGTTGTAGTTGACTTGTTTATCAAACATCAACCAAAGCTATCAAAGAATCTTTGTATGCGTACACTTGTCACTCTATCAGATAAAATAATTTGGAATACGAATGTGAGCCCACGCCACTTTCCTGCATACTTATTATGTTTTGCCAAGCTGATTGCAAAGATGCAGCTTGGAAGCAATGGCATTTCAACATATCTCCATTGAGACAGTGACAACAGTGTACATCCATAAATATTATATAAGAGATGTGATTTATGCTTTATGTAACAAATCCATTGAAGCTAAGTGCTTGACACAACTTTGTCATGAGCATTCTTATATTTAGTACAAGTACATGGCAATACTATACTGCTATCTCTGTCTCAGTTGAGGTATATTGGGCAATTGTTTGAAGCTCCATCTTTGCAATCAACATGGCAAAACATAATAAGTGTGCAGGAAAGTGGCATAGGCTCATATTTGTATTCCAATAAAGATTCTGTGTTAGCTGTGATTAATGCTACATTAACAAGTCCAATGAAACCTAATACTTGACACAGCTTCTTCTCTAGTAATTTTTGCATCTTGTTCAAGGCCATACTGTCAAGGTGGCCTTCATTGTCAAGCTGTGTCCAACACTTGATTTCAATAGATTTATTAATCGAGTATCAACCCTAGTTATCAAAGAATATTTGTACGGATACTCTTGTCGCTATCTTAGTTGTCACAGCTTGAAATACAAATATGAGCCCACGCCATTTTTCTGCATACTTATTATATTTTGCCATGTAGATTGCAAAATTACGTAAGTAGTATAATTTAAATTACTTCTGAATGATAAATAATAATCAATAAAAAAAATAATTTGGATTTGTGTTGCCGTAAACAAATCTTCGCAATGTATTTTCCATAATTTTATTTTTCATTTGAAATATATCGCGATGATTTATTTACCGCAAAACGAATCTAAATTATATATTTGTATGGATAATTATTTACCTTCTCCTTGTCCTACCACACTTGTCTCAAAAAATCAAACTTACATGCGAGTAAGTAGCCGCTAATATCTAGAGCGAAGAGACTATTATAAAATCAATTTTATAGTTGCAAGCAAAGAAAAATTGTAATTTAACCATTTTTATTATAATCACGAAGCCACAATTTTGAACTTGATAGGACATCATACCCAAATTGCCACTTCGTAATTGTAATAAAAATAGTTAAATTACATTGTTTATTTGTTTCCAACTACGAAATTGATTCGAATATAGTCTTTACGCTCTAGATATCAGTGACAGTCTATTTGCATGTCGGTTTTACTTTTTGAAAAAAAATGTGTGGTGGGTAGAGAGAAAGGGAGAGATTTCATTACTTGTACCAGGATCATATAAAATATATTCCATAGACAGGAATGCTTAGAATTGAACACCTGGTCAATTGCCGATGGTCGTCTCTGACAAACTTTTAAATTACATCAGAAATTATAAATTAGTAGATGTTTTATGCAAACAGCTAATCGAGTCGGCGTTTTAAGAGGCGAATTCGTAGGTTGAACGTATACCTACATTACCGGCATCGGGCTAACCGATATTTTATTGCACGTATTGATATTTTCAGTATTTAGACGATACTGATACTTTAAGTAATTCAGACCATTTTTACGATACAAAGTATGTAATTAATTTGCAGTTCATGTAAACTGTGTTACTCCAACTTATTATATGTAGTATTGTGCGTAGAATACGTATAATACTCCACCTAAGAGAAAATCAGCGATGAAAAGTTATCCGAGAAAATGACAATGAAAAAATTTGATTTTCCAAATAGCTTTCTGGAAATTGCATCAATGGAAATAAAACTTTTGAATAAAAAATGGTAATCTAGACTTTTGATTTTACTATTGGATACATAAGTATATCACGCGTGAAGACTATAAAAGCGATGAAACGCTTTCGGATGAGCCCCAATTAGCCAAGTTATTGTATATGTAGTGTCGGGTGCGGCCAAGCTTCATGGCTATTTCATGCCTACTCGCATGCGTGCCGCGACCGCGACACTCGATCATTCAGAAGTAATTCAAATGATGCTACTTTTATTTGCTACACTCGTGTGAGCGTGCGCAGTGGTTTGTGCGCAGCCGCAATCGCAAGCGCTGGCTTTCTCCGTAGTCCACATTTTTTCGTGTCGTTCCTCTTCGCTTTCACGGAAAACCGATTCTAACGTGTAATGAGCCTTATTTTGGTTCTGCAGCGTGCTTCATTCGGGAACTAGCGATGTAAGCATCGAAGACGTATCTGTCGGACAGTGTTATTCGTTGGAAATTTCAGTGCTGCCGAATACGTGGAAAATAACGCATTGACGTCCTGCTCTTGATCTTCATTGAATACTTGTGGATGAGATAATTGCTCTCTGCAAAGACCCTGGCTAAGGAGACTGATGTTTCTATACTTGACATTGTTATGCACTCAAAACTAATTATTTTCGTGGCACAGTAAATTACCAATCTATTTCGAGTTTCGTATTTTGCAGGTCGTCTCTTGGACGTATCAACTATAACATTGAACATTGAATGATATCATATAAGACGCGAATAGTCAGCGTCATCGTTCAGTCCGAACCACAGCCGTGGCTACTCTTTATCCATCGTTATTCCGGAGTGATGTGATGAAAATTCGAATCAAACTCGATCCGAAAACCACTTTGGTCGTTAAGCGCGACCAAACCGTTAGCACGCAATAGCGCGAAAATCTGCCGTACGCGTAGCCAAGTATCGTTCCGAATGCGTATATACTCCGAGGTCGCATGTCAATTTGTCGAGATTATCGGTGATTCAAGAAAAGTGGCAATTATCGGCGCGGCCGCGTCGCCGCGACCAAGCAGGATAATTGCGTCTGATTATCGTGTAAGGGCGCGCGCAGACAATCGCACGATTGTTTCTAGATCGTCGAAGAGGAGCAGCGCCAGTCCGTAGCGGCGATTCGCCTGTCCTCGGAGCGACTGCGGCGAGCGATTGCGGGGCGATCTTAGCAGCCAAACGGAGAGCCGATCGAGAGCCCTCGCAGCCGCGCTGCCACGCTTTACGCAGAACGGAGCGCGCGGACATTTCGACGTCGGCGGCGATTCGTTGTGCGGCTACTTTTTATTGATCCGCGGAGGGAAGACCAAATCCAAAGTCAACGTGCAAAGCGATTCGGACGACGGAATCGGGTCGCTAAAAGTGCGGTGCGCGCAGGTTGGGGAACAAAAGGCCGCGCGCGACTTCTGCGAGCCAAAGCTCTCTAATCGCGCCGGCGCACGTGCGCCAATTGTCCGTAATACGAGTGGAGCCCCCGCCCCCCTCCCGCCACGCGAATCGCCTCGAACGAAAGATCGCAGCGATGGCTCGCCGGCAGGTTTTCCGTTGCAGGACACCCGCGAGCACGCGGACGTGGATCGGCAAGGTCGCGCTTCTCTCTTGCCTTTGTCCGTTTGCTCTCCCAGCCGGCGAAGGGAACGCGCGACGTCGAGCCGGTCTCGCTGGTCTCCCGCCGAGGCTCGACGTCGTCTAAAGCAGATGCGCGCGCGCGTCATCGGCGGCCGAGAAGATGCGGCGCAGTCACTTGGCTCGGCTCGCAACGATCTCGGCGATCTCGTCACGAGCGGCTTTGAAAATTCTGCTGCAATCGGGCCGCGCAGAAGCGTTGAATAGCGTTGGCGGTACGTGCCCTTAATGTCAAAATTATCTGTTTCTGTGTCAGCGAACGCCGGCTCATCGCTGCCGCTACTGCACTGATTTTCCCTCTCTCTCTCTCTCTCTCTCTCTCTCTCAATTTGCGCTTTATTCAATCATGCGCGCGTCGTACGCGAAGCTGCTGCGTTTTCTCGTCGAAGTCGGAGCAGACGTTGCTTTGCTTCCGACCGAGGGCCGAGCAAGCCTGGCGGGCGGAGGCGGCAGCCGGAGAAAGTAGCCGCTCTCGGCCGTCGGCCGGCAAGTCGGCGCCGACGCTGATCGTCGTGCCCCCGTGCCTTCTCGCCAACAGGTGCTGGCAGCGCGGCGCTGTCTGCAGACGCGACGAGCGGTCGCCAGTGACAGCTGATCCTTGGCCGGCGAGCGCCGCGACGACGCGCGCGGCTTTCGGGAGGCGAGCCGCGGGAACGCCACGAGTGCAGCTTCTCCCAGCTCGGCGGCAAGGACGGACGTGCGAGGAGCGGAGCTGCGCAGCAAGCGGAATCATGGTCAAGACTTTTCAGGCTTACCTGCCATCCTGCCACCGCACCTACTCGTGCATTCACTGCCGCGCTCACCTCGCCAGTCACGACGAGCTTATCTCCAAGGTGAGATCCGCTGCCTCTTCTTCTCTGCGCCTTTTGTCCCCCTTTTTCCTTTTTCCTTTTTCCTTCTCCCTTCTCCCTTCTCCCTTCTCCCTTCTCTCGCCTTCTCGGCCGACGCCCGATCGGATGAGCTCGCTCGAAACGACGAAGGATGCGCGCGTCTATCGACAATTTGATCGACACCGAGTTCGATTGACATCCGTGTGGCGAGGGCGGACTGCATTGTAACGAGCGCAGTCGGGGACCGCGCCGCGTGCTGCCGAAAGGAACCGAGGTTCCGTCCCGTTTTCGATCGCGAATCAGAGCGATTCGCCGCAGAAACGCCTCGCGAATTACGAGCAACTATCTTCATTGTCCATAACCGAGCACTACGGTTGCGGCGCGCGCGTCTATTAATTACGCTCGCGTGTGCTTTCTTTTCATGTGTCTTCTTCTCTTGCCAACAGTCCTTTCAAGGAAGCCAAGGTCGTGCCTACTTGTTCAACTCCGTGTAAGTAGAGCAGCTGCTGTTAAATCGGTGGAATGCCGATGCGTCTTTTCGATCTGTCGGCATTCCGTCGAAGCGGCACGTGGAATCGAGCGCAGCCAAGGATAATCAGAATGCTTTCGTTGCTCTCTGCGCAGGGTGAACGTGGGCTGCGGTCCCGCGGAGGAGCGTGTCCTGCTGACGGGACTCCACGCCGTCGCCGACATCTACTGCGAGTGCTGCAAGACCACCCTTGGCTGGAAATACGTAAGTTGCCTGCAAAACTTCGTTCGGCCAACCTGCTTTATTTATTTCCTCTCTGACAATTTCACTCCGGATAGAGTCAGCGATTCAACTGTCGGTTAATACTGTAATACGGAAATACGCGAATGACAGATTTATATTACTCTTTTCAACGGACTATTTCGCATTCGCAGTCAAGGCTTCTAATTCTAATTCAATGGCTTCACGCGATTAAGTCCAAAATTTATGCCTCTCTCCAATCCGTTAATTGATGCACCACGGTAACTTGTTTGATATTTGTTCTATCCAAAGTAGTTTGCCTTGAGTCATCAAAGCGTTTTAACGACGGCTCGACTCGATTTCATGGGCTATTTCAGTGTATTGCAGATTATAACAGAGTGCACCCCGAACGACCAAAGTATACGAATCCATGAAAAATCTTTTCTTCGCGCATTCCAAAGTGACGTAACTTTGCTCGTGTTGCAGGAGCACGCGTTCGAGTCGAGTCAAAAGTACAAAGAGGGCAAGTTCATAATCGAGCTGGCCCACATGATCAAGGAGAACGGATGGGAGTAGCAGTTTGCATCGGCTCACAGCTCAGACTGGTCGTCGTCGAACCACCAACGAAAGTCTGTGATTTTATTTGTGATTAAAATAATCTTAGCTGCGGAAGCGCTTTTTGTGTTTTTTTTCGGACCATTTCGACGAGAGAGAGAGAGAGAGAGAGAGAGAGAGAGAGAGAGAGAGAGAGATAAAGAAAGAGAGAGTAAGAGACATAGAGCAAGGCACTCGCATCCAAAAACTCCCTTCGTTTGTTTCGCCAACGATGATGACGTCGCCTCAGCAGCGTAACGACGCGAGCGCAAGGATGCGCCGTCGTAGCCGAAGAAAGCGACGCCGAAGAAAGATCGTACAAGAATTTCTTATGGAGATGCGTGCGCGAATACGAGAGAAAAAGAGAGAGAGAGAGAGATCTTTTTTTCTTTCTTACTAGATTAAGCATGACTGAATTGTGATATATATATATATATATGAGGTTCGGACTGCTAGCGTGTGAATAATTACGATTATTTTTTAAGGGTTGTCCAAGTGATCTTTCTTCTTCAGCGTTTAATAAATATTATCAGCTGTTGCCGTTTGACTTCATTGTATGTATCAGCGATCGCAGCGCAAAATTTAACGTCGTTTGCGCAAGCTTCTGAATATTTAACAAGTTTTAAGTTCAATTTGCTGTATTTGTCAAAAGTGTCATCTTTTTTATCACGTGAATAAATTTGCTGTGTTTTACTATTAAGTATAGAGTGTAAACGATTTTTCAGTCATAATTCTAAAAACAAGCAAATATTATCCGAAAAAAATTCGATGAAAGTCATACATAAAAACAAATTGTGACTTCTTGCAGCGGATACCGTAAAAAAATTGCAATCATATTTTTGAAAATTAACGCACGTAGTATTAGCGAATTGTGCATATTAAAAAGACAAAAAAAAAAGAACAAAAAAGCAGTTGTATAAAAAAAAAAGAAGTTTCGCTGTATAAGTAAAATAAAGACTACGAGAGTTCTTTGAAGATCGCGATCCGATTTCCCAATTGAGGGAGACGCCGCGAAAGGGAGCAGAGCGCATGCGTGCATCGGTTCACATTTATGATTCCGATATAGGACTGCCTGCTCGCCTGAGCTGCGTGTCTATAGATGGAATTTCACTGCCGATATTCCTAATTAATTAATTCAATGAGAAAGAGCGAAAGTGAGAATTTAAAGACGATGAAAGGCTGATTATAACGCACGAACGTCGAGGAATGTGCTTTTGGGCTCGAAACGATGATGAAAAAACAAAAACAAAATAGTTTTAACGTAGCTCAAATAGATAAAAAATAAAAACGACATAGCGTAATAAAAAAGCCTATATTACAATTACTATATAGGACTTGGATATAGACAAATAAGAATTATTAATAACTTAAGAAAATTGAAATCGACGAGTCGGAGAAATTAAAAGATAACGGTTAGGACCGACAGAGAGAAAAAAATAATACGTTAGGTTTCGAAAAATTCACTTTGAAAAGTGTGTGTGAATGCACCGAACTGTTTTACGTTCACCAAGCCTGCCAAACTGTCTGTTTGTCTGCCAGTTGCCACTACTTTACTAATACATAATATATATACAGAGATGTCATAATCATCAGCATTATCGTGACGCAGACATACGTGCAAAACGCTTCAACAAACAGAACGAATTCACGATATCTCATTTGGAGTTCATGCATGGTTATTGACCGAAGAGAAAAAAGATATTCACACGAGCATGAGACGCGATCGTGAAAAATCGGCTCATTTCCACCGTCTATAGCGTCTATCCTTTATAATAATTATACGAATAAATTTATAAACATTACGCTGTAGATATTTTAACTCATGTGCTAATCAAATTTTATTTAATCTTAAGAAGAAAATTTATGTCAGTGTGTTGTTACATAGCGACCTTGCGACGGTGAACTTGAGGTGATGAATAGTAAAAACATAAATGAACACGAAAAAAATTAAAACGCGAAAACGTCGATCTCGTTTGTAAATAAATTACAATGCATTAGGATTCTGCGTATCGAGTCTATAGTTATTGCAAGTAATAGCAGCTGGGTATCTTCGTTCTGTTTTAAACTGTCATACACTGCTCACTCTGACAAAATAGAACATGTTTTCTCACGCTGTAAAATATAGCAACAAAGAAAGAAAAGAAATTAATTACGCATATTAAAGTTGAAATTTACAAAATGAAACAAATACAACAGGCTTTTAATTTTCGCTATCTGGCATGTGTAGATTATGTGATATGAGAGTACCTACGAAAAAAAAGTAAAATTAGCTTGCTGGATCGAGTTTGCCGATAGTCGAAAACTAAAAGACTACAATACTAAAAAAGAACTCAATGCTTATTAGTCAGTTGATTATACCTATACTTTTTTATATTCGTCGTAAATGTTAAGTTGTTCTTTTTTTAAGAAAAACATTGAAACATAGCTTTCAATATTAATTTTAGATACAATTGGACAATATGGGGAGAGCATTGATTTTTGTAATAGATTATGTAAACCAGTATCTTGATTTATGTTATTTATGATACGCTCAACATTAAAGAAAGAAACAAAGCAAAAGTGCTGTGTGCAATTTCGCGTATGAGTGTGATAATGAGACGAATGAATTATTCGGCGTGCATGCTTGGCCTAATCCTCATATTGTGTCTCAAAGAGTACTTTTTATATTAACGTGCCGATGTCCTTATTCTCGTGTCACTCCTTTCTAAGTCTATTCCTTATAATTTTTTTCTTTTCAAATATCCCTATCCTATCTATTTCCTCTATCCTTTCATTCCATCAAGAGTCACGGATTATGTTTTATCCCTTGATTCTCAGTCGCAATCTACATTTCTATTTACGACACGACTTTGCTTTGTAAAATATGTTCGTAATAAAAAATTTTAAAATATTTACTCGAATTTTTTGTCTTTACTCTTCTTGTCATGCTAGTGCAAGTTTTATACTCAACGTTAGTTTTAATAATAAATTATTCGTGCTGTGGAGAATAGGATTCTATGGACTTGAAAATATTTTTTATTTCGTTTTGTCGTAAAATTTTTTACATAAGGTATTATGTGATACAAAGGCGAAACAATTATTGTAATTTTTCTTGGAAAAATATTCATAAATTTATATAATAATAATATCGATGCTTCGCGCAAGAAACAAAATTGAATTTTTAAAGATCCAATGATAAGATCTATAAAACACAAAGTGACTAGAAAAAGGGAAGAAAACAAAGTAAAACCCAGTAGAAAAAGAGAAGACTTAACAATGAAGCTGGATCGGAGTTGAGTGCGTGTACCATAGCACTTATAGTGCGCAGTCGTGTTGCCGACTCAGGAGGCGTGGCTAGAATAGACTATTCTTGTAACGTCAGTGTTGGTAGATGAGCGTAGGCTCGGGAGGGGGAGGTGTGTTTGCGATGTATGTACGTATACCGCACACACACGCAGTCTACCACATAACGATGACGAGCCGTCGCTACGTCGGCCTTTCTGTCTCTCTTTATTTTTTGTTTTTATTGATTTATCCGCTTGTTTTGTTTTGCCTGCGTATCTGGCTGCTTCCCAATCATTTCTACGTGAGCAATGTTATGTTGTAAACCATCAATAAGCTGACTGACGACAATGACGATGGATCTCGCCATTACTGATGAACAAAAGGCCGAACCAGAAGCAGAGTTCAAAGCCAAAGGGCAGAGGTATATGATATGCACATACCAACACGCATAGCCATAGCGGCATAGCCTATAGCTTTCGTTTCATACTGGCCACGAGGGAGCGTGAGAAAATCGTGCCGCTTGCTTATTCGGGGGAACTGTTGCTTCGATCGATAACTTACATGAACTTGCGTGTCAGCCTTTCTTTCGCCTTTAGTATGATGCGCTTTTCTGTTACATTACCGTTGGAAAGTTGTTAATTAACTTGTTCCGTTTTCTATATTAGTATCAAGTATTTGTCAGAGTTATTTAGAACATAGAAACCTTACAACAAGAGCTTTTGTCCACGTGTTCAGTCCCCAGCTAGCTTTCTTAATATTATAATCAATAGTGTAGAATACTCAATAATTTACAATTTTAACTTTGCAACAGTAACAAGGATGTATTAGATCGCTTCACAGATAATGGTGGTACATTTGACATGATCGTCAAACCAATGTTCCAAGCAGGCCACGAAGGTGAATTATGTAGCTGGCTGAGAGAAGCTGGCTTGATGAGATCAAGTATGAACTGTCGCACTGAAACTTGCAATAACAGAAGTATGACTTGGGCTCCAGCAAGATCTGTTGACAAATATTGCTGGAACTGCACCGAATGCAAGAAGAGAGAAACAGTCAGAGATAGTTCTTTTTTTATGCAAATCAAATGTGATCTCAAGTTGTGTATGCAAATCATTGTGGCTTGGTGTCAGTCTCATCCATGTGATGTAGTTGAAAGTTATTTAGGTATGTATTACTAGGTGACAATCTTATCGATCTATGTATTTTACAAGTTCTTTTATTGAATACTACAAAAATGTTGCAGGGATTAAGCATCATGTAGTTAAGAAAGCATATGATAGATTAGCAAAAGTTGCTGAAAAATATGTTACAAAACATAAAGACGAATGGATATTTGGAGGTTCAGATAAAATTTTAATAATTGATGAATTTCCTGGTGGATACATGACTGAAACATTGAATGCTCCAGTATACAAAAAACGTAATAACAATTGCCATACAATGCTTTGCATAGCTGAGGTAGATATGGATATGAAACTGTTCCAAATTCCACCTAAAATGTGGATGCATATTATTCAAGCTAATCCAGAGGTATTTTATATACTATTCATTTTATTGTGACGCATTTAAATAATAATAATAATAATAATAATAATAATAATAATATAATATCTGAGTTACAGCCTCCATCCTCTAAAAATGCAAAGACTCCAAAACCGATTACTAAATGTGGTATGGTTGAAGAAGCTTTAAAAGAAATTTGTGCTCATGCAAAACCTGGCAGTTATCTTCTAGCAAATCAGCGAGCTAGATGTTGTAATTACGAGTCACTTCAAGAATTAAAAGAATATAGAGTGATATGTATAGAAGATTTGCAAATATATGATACTCCTGGTAAAAATGAACTTCTAGGAAACCTAAGTTAGTAAAGAAATTTTTTATTTTACTATGACAAAGGTTTTTGTAGATCAGTGATTAATAAAGCATCTATTTTACAGAAACTATATGGCAGACTGGATTAGGTGTTTGTGAAGAGATACAAGAGATGAGTCGTTCGTTAGGACAGTTAACCCTTTGTGTACATTTATGGAGACAAAGGTTTGCACAATCATCTGCAGTTGCTTTTGAACGCATTATTCAACACATTGCTGAATGTTTTCCACTAAGTTAAATTCTAATGAAGGTATAATTTATTGAAGAGAAATCTATATACGATATTCAAATATTTTTTGATAGATTTAATAAGAAAGAGTTGTAAGAGAGTCTTCCAAAACTATTTTCTATCAAATGCACAACTAAATATCTCATAAGTGCCTGACGATGTATCAATGTAATTGTACATTGCAAATGACTATTGCTGTTGCAAGGCATTTGACCTTTTTTAAGATTACAAAAACTATGTTTGCCTTAACAATTAGTATATGAGGTGTTAAGCCAAGGAGGTTAAACATTTATAACATTTTCTATTATTCATTTATATCAAAGCTTTATGTTTTATCACAATAAATACTTCGTTAATTGTTATCTTATCTACGTTGGTATTAAAAAAAGTATAATTTAAATTTTTATAAAGTTTTATTATGTAAAAATAATTGATTTTTTCTCTTAATATCACAACTTGAATGTATTTTCAAAAAGAATGATAATTACTACCTTTTCTTCTGTTCATACTTTATAATCAGAATATAATATAATTTACAAAGAAAGCACATAATAAAATAAGTGCAATTGAAATTAATATTTAATAAAATGTTGTCAAACATATGCATTAATTGATCTAACAAAGTTATATATAAGTTGATGACCAAAGTAGCAAAAATATAATATCATATATTTAAGGTAGACATGGAAAAGGTACAAATACGTTAATTTTTTACAAACACAAAATAGTATTGTAAAATCATTAATTTAAGTTTATTTCATATTTTAAAACTTTCAGAAAGTATAAAAAAGTTTACGGGTTTGTTAAAAATTCAATTTAACCTTTTTTTTATGTTAGATTATAAATTCATGTGTCAATTAAATTTTCTACTGATATGAGTATGTGAGATTGAGGTATGATCTTGTGCCTTAAATGATATATAACCAATTAAGCAATTAAGCAATAACATACTATAGATAAGAAAAGTATAATGTGTGTTTTAATTGTGAACATACTCTTTTCTATATATATATATATATATATATATATATATATATATATATATATATATATATATATATATAATATATATTTTATATATGCTTACTAAAATAAATAAATCGTTTTCCATTAACAAAATTTCTGAGATTCACTTTGTGCTCTTCAACAATGTACATATAAAAATCACAGAATAAATCCAATACCCATTAAAAACAGTAGGATTATTCAGACATGTACTTTTTATAAATTTTTTGATCTTCGACCATTTTTCTAAATACTCGATATTTCTTGCAATGATAACTGCAGTAGAATTAACAACTCTTAATAACGTAACCCATTTTAAATAAAAAATTGAACAAGGAAACGAAATACTCACGAGTAAGTCTCAGTTGAAGGATGCACAACTTTAGCAGAGCCTCCCATAGCTTTGATAGCTTCGTGTACCGACGGAAAAGCTTTCGCGGCACAAGAGCCAAGAATAGCAGAACCTACAAGTACAGATTCGCGTTCTGCAGGGCAAAGCATGGGCAGACCTAAAACGTCTGCCTGAGTTTGAATAAATAATGGATTTTGACTCAGGCCGCCGCACACGAGCAAGGACTCTATTTTGTGGCCTGCATCCGTTAATGCTTCTAGAATATGTTTAGTGCCGTACTAAAATATTTAATGAACCAATTAGATCGATACGTTTTTTTATATGCTCTAAAAATGAAAGTATCTCTTACCGTTAACGATTGCATTGTAGCTAAGTACAAGGTTGCTAAGTTTTCTTCATCCTTCGACAAAGTAAGTCCACTTATCTGGATTTTTTTGGAAATCAAAGTTTAATAATTTTGATGCTAATATGATAGAGTTTTAATACATAAAATCTTAATTTTACCATTCCACAAAGTGTAGGATCGGTTAGAGGAGAACGATTCCCGTGAAAATCAGGCCAGACGTGGATCTCCTCTGTTAGATAAGCTATATCGCGAAGATTCCTTTTATTGGCCATTGATTTTAAAAGCTCAGTAAGATACTGCTGCACGTGCCTATTACATTTAGAAAAGGCTGTACACAATGGCAATACAATTGTGCTGTTTATTTTTTATAGTACATACATATTTGATTGTAATTTTTGTTGAATCTCTGACTTAGCTGGATGAGTATCTATAACGTGATCGATTAATTTACCAGTAGTACTTTGTCCTCCCTCATTGAGCCAAAGATCAGGTACCATTGCACCATAATATGGTCCCCAAACGCCACCAACAAATATTTCATTTTTACTAACAGCCATGTGACATGTAGAGGTGCCACATATTAAACCTAATCACAGCATCTATTAAAGAAAGATTGGCAATTTCACGCAAAATCTGCATCTTACCTAATCTACTTGTAAAATCTGAGGAAATATTTAGGGCTGAGCAACCAAGCATGCCAAGTCCACCAGCATGAGCATCAATAATTGACGTACCCACTGGTGTACCTTCTAACAAATTCAACTCCTTAGCTGCTTTTGATGTCAATCCAGAACCCACTGGGTGTCCTGGTGGTTTAACAATTTGACCTGCAAGTATTTATTTATATTTTTATTATGTCATTCTTCAAACCTTCTGAAGTAGTTAAGTTCTGAAGATAAACATGCAGATAAACTAAAATTTTTACTCACCAATTTTTTTCCAATTACCGTTTTTGAGGTCGGATAATCCAATTTTATCAAAGAAATCACTACACCAATGATAATCTCCGTCTGGCCCAGCACTATAGTTCCATTTACATACTAGTGAACACAATGATCTGAAATAACAACAGTTAGCATCCCGCACATTTATTTCAAAAATCTGAGCTGTTTACACGCCTGGAATCGGAATTTGTCGCTTTCCACGTTAGAAAGTCAGGTAAATCGAAGAATAAATCGGCTTTTTCCCATGTATCTGGTAAATTCTGCTTTAGCCACAAAAGCTTTGGCACCTCCATTTCTAATGATATTTTCCCACCTACATATTTTAACATTTTATGCCCTAACTTATTGATATATTCTGCTTGCTCTTCAGCTCGATGGTCCAGCCATAGGATAATATTTTGATCATTGATGCCTGTACAGTAGAGCAATGGCTTAAAAAATGCATATAACATTAAAAAAAATTTTTAATTATTTACCTGTAGGGCTAACTGAAATAGGCAGTCCATGTCTATCCAGTGCAACTAATGAACATGTTGCATCAAAGCCAATTCCTTTAATATATTCTTTTGGAGTATTAGCAACAACTTCCTATAATAAGTAGAATATTTGTATCCATTTGTTCAGTCAAACTTATGTGTTAAATTTACCTATATTATTTGTATACCTTAACAACTGTACATACAGAAGCCCAAATATCATTCGATGATTGTTCATAAAATTTATCTTGTGGATTAAAAGTTTTGATAGGATGGACAGCAGACTCTATAATCTTTCCTTGTGATGTAACTAAAGCTGCTCTAGCACTGCCAGTTCCAACATCAACACCCACAAAATAAATCATTGTGTCAAGTATATTGTAAAAATGTCTTCTAAATTTTCTCCAAGAGTATGGTTGATCCTAAAGCAGCAATCATACTAAGTATAGTACTATCAACGTTGGAAGTAAAAAGAGTTTATTATCAGCTTTTAACTTTTATGACACAATCAATGTAAGATGTAGCATTATCTTGGGTTTGAATGTTTTATGAGCTTGACCCATGATGATATCGAAGTTCTTCGTTCATTTAAATAGCAATTTGATATGATCATATGAAAATTATATATTATTGCTGTTATATCTTAACACACATCTTATTTAATTTTAAGTAGAACAAAATCAACTGTGAGTGAACAATAAAAATATTAAATTTATTTGATTAATAAAAAAATCATATAATGTAAAAATAATATAATTTGTATATTGAAAAGAGGATTCAAAAGAATTTAATTCACCATGATTAAAAAGGAAGACGTTCAAATACTCCTATATTACAGCGCCAAAATTTTTAAATGATTATGTCAGATAAGTTCGGGAAAAATAAAAATGGAAGATTCAAGATAGTCGTATTGATTTGTATACTTTGTTATCAGTTGCATGTGCAGTGCTGATAGCGTAATATGTAGGTGAACTAATAAATATTCCGTGTGAAATTTTGGAAACATAGGATTCGTCGATTTATACGGCATGGCTGCTCACGTGGCTGCATATACGCTGATCACGTGAGCACACTTCTTGTTTACATCTGCACTGCAGTAAGAAGGTAGAACTATAGCCGGCATAACAGTGAATAATTAGTTTCTCAATTATAGAGCATTTTCATTTGTGACATTATGGTCAATATGACCGCATACTCGAGGACAAAATTTTAATTTGGGCTTTAATTAGTTTTAAAAATATAAAATATTCAACTGCATTAATTTTATACGATACTGACTTGTTTAAAACCGTCATTCCATAAGCCTTCAAAATGCGATTAATGTTATACGCAGGAAGCTTGCAGGCTAATCGGCGTATATTATTTTTTTCTTTAAATGATCAATTAATAAAAAAATTAATAATTCAGAATATATTATATGTGAAAATAAATATTATGCGAACATTATTTTTTCACACGTGGGAACATCGATTATTATTAAATTAAAAATTAATTACTATACCGCACGGACGTACACTCAATGTTTAACAGCAGATATTTCGTTAATGCAACGATGGAAAGCTCAATGTGATTGCAATTGATAGTGAGTTAGAACATTGATCGAATTGTTATTTACGCGGATTCAGTAGTAATGTAATATCTCAAATATCTGCTATCGCTTGGTTACGCAGTGCTGGGCCGAATCGAAGAGTTCTCTTACTCTCGCCACATATGCGCATAGGCGCGCGTACGAGGGCGTACAAACACGTACAAATCGCTAAAAATTTTGATAGTACCAACAACAGAAAGTTACTACTATTTCTCGCATGCCCCAAACGAACACACTTACTCCCGGAACAAACGTATCATAACGCTATATTATTGAAGGTTATGATACGTTTGTTCCGGGAGTAAGTGTGTTCGTTTGGGGCATGCGAGGAATAGTAGTAATTTTCTGTTGTTGGCACTATCAAAATTTTTAGCGATTTGTACGCGTTTGTACGCCCTCGTACGCGTGCGTATGCGCATATGTGGCGAGGGCCTTACATGCACCATTAGGCCCCGGTCCATAGGTACGTACGGATGCGGACGGATACGGACGCGAATCGCAACTCTACTAACATTACCAAAAATATCTAGTTCGATTATTTAGTATCAACACTACCGGTAATGAGCAAAAGTGACTGTTGTTTAAAATTGTAGCGCCGAACGTACCACATTTAATGTAACGCCTATCTAACCTTTACATTATTGCAGTCTATAAGATGGCAAATGATAGAGAATTGATAGACTTTCAACTACAATTAGTGGAATTAGGCCTTAATTTTATGGAAGTACTTGAATATATGAGAAGAAGAAAATATATATAAATGATATGTATTAATCATCCCAAAAATTTTGTTTACATTAGCATACTCATCAATAAGCAATATTCATGAAAATTTGAAAAGTAAATTGTAGACCTGACATTTGAACATTAAATGTGGTACGTTCGGTGCTACAGTTTTAAACAACAGTCACTTTTACTCACTACCGGTAGTGTTGGTACTAAATAATTGAACTAGATATTTTTAGTGATGTTACTACAGTTGCCATTCGCGTCCGTATCCGTCCGCATCCGTACGTACACTATAGGACCAGGGCTTTAAAGTGCTCTACGCCTCGAACTTCAGGTCGTTCGATCTTCGCTTCTGCCTCTCGTAAGGTTTGTTCGCTATACTCGTTGTTAAATGATTGATCAATTAATATCAATACAGTATGTAAACTATTTCTTTTGGTTAGAAATAAAAAATATTACGTATAAACAGCCGAATAAAACTACTTATAGTTTTATTCTTAACGAACAATAATTTCAAATGTACATAACATATATTTCGAGTTTTAAACTTTTCACCAAATAATATCTTGTCGACATGCGACATATGAGATAATTAAAGAATAGCGTTCCAGACGTATAATTCCAGACGTAATTATTTGATATTAATTTGTAAAATAAAAATAAATGTTATAAATGGTCTTTTCAGATGGCTCTTGTAGAAGTCTCTTAACTCGAAAGGACGTGGTGAACAGACCTTACATGCGCAGTGTAGGCTATTTTGAGAATTTGAGAGATCTTTTCATCGTCTTTCGATTCGACAAGTATGAAGTATACTGCCACTACAAGTTATTAAAACTTTCTAACCTCAAAATGGTTCGCTACAAGAACAGGTATTATCTTTGTTTACATCAATCGTTATAGTTAATGTTTCTTTTTACCATAAAATTATAATGTCGAATTGTAATATTTCAACAACTTATATAAATCCAGTGATTTTTTATAACTAATTATTGCAGGTATATCACTATTCAGGTATCAACACGTGACAAATCCGATAAAGCTTTCAATTTGAAAACCACAGCTTTGCATGATGCTATAAAAAAAAAAGTAAAAGAAATGTATGGTGATTATGGAGAAGCAGCAAGTCAAGCTGGATTTTCAGGTACTTACATTAATTTTATTTATTTTTTATAGCCAATTCATTGAATTTCTATTATTTAGCTAAATACTGTAATAGTTATACTAAAATTGGTTTAATCAAAATTCGCCACGGACCACACATGTTCTTATTGAATGCCATACCAAAAATAAATGATCTTGGAGGTAAACTAGTTACGGTAAAAATTCTTTACGTTGGTGCAACAATGAAGCATTGTTTCTTATTTATCAGGGTAATCTACTCAATTGATCATGGATTATTATTATATAAATATGAAATTTTTATTGATTCATATGAATTTTCAGAAATATCAAAGGAATAAACTAGAATTAATGTGGAAAGAATTAAAGAGTGAGAAAGAAAAAAAAGACTGTGAACAAAAATTGATGACAATGTCACCTGCAATGAAAGAGCTTATGAACTAAGAAATAAGTTATGAATGATGTACATTGCCTTGTATATACAATGTATATAAAAACATATTTTATACTATAATGTTTACTGTAGCATAGAATTAAATAGAAATAAACGAATATTTTTAATAATATAAAGTTCAAATCATACTTTAACTTCATCTAATGACTTTTATTATAAACTCTAAATTTAATTTAATTAGCACTCAAAAACATCAACGAAAAGCAGGGTTAGGCTTTTGAACTTACATCTATTTTAATCCAAAAAGGAAACAGAGAGAGAGAGAGAGAACAAGCAAGAGCAACAAAAAAAACTAAACATTACGAGTTTTTCCCGCGCAGTCGGACTTTACCGAAGTTTGCCGAGTGTAGTATAATATAACACATATAGGTTTCAGCGGCGGTGCGTATCGAGGCAGTAGGCGGCAGTGGCCGCAAAATCTTCCCTTTTTCCATCCAACCAGCAGCGTCCGTCGCGCGAGAGAGAGCGAGAGATCCTTGCTGCGCGCGCGCGGCACTCAGAGTTTCAGTTCAGTTTGTGTATGTACGTTGAGGGAAGAGCGTGTAGTTTCATTGTACGCTCCGGTTTTTCTCTCTTGTGCATTTTCCTAAAGAAGATTTTTTCCCGAGCGAGACGTGAAAGATCAGACGATTCGAACGCACGTCTAAAAGCTTAATCTACATTAAAATTATACCTTTATCAGTATGGCCATGCCTGCAGGAGGCGTCTTTGCTTGAGGGTTATATGCACACGTATCCAAGACACACACACACGTACGAGGTGAGCTTGATTTTTTTTGTTTATGAGGTAAAACGCATAACGTATATAATACATCTACCAATGTGTGTACGCCATTGATGCATTTGAGTTGCTCGCACGGCATGGCGTTTAGCTGGCGAATGTTTTTTTCCTGTACGAATTTGTAATTCGAAGCTGTGCTTTCTGCACTGTGGGAGGCGTTGCAGATCGCGTTTGTCTACTGATCGCTACTGCGGCAATGGAGATGACTATCAAATGTTTGTTTCATAAAAATGTAGAAGCGTTCTGAATTTTGATTGCTCCGTTCATTTTCCAGAGCATTATGTTACGTTCGAGTAATTTTTTCGATGATTCATTCTCAATGCTCATTTTAATCACATAGTAAATTATTTTCGACTGCTTAAATCATTTGAAAGATACGGTAGGACTATTATGGTATATCTCGTAATATTAAAATAAATTATATTCAAAATTTGTATTGATAAAGACTTGAGAATATTTCAAATGTTAAAAAAAATGCGAAAAATTTTCAATCGTAAAAACGCGTTTCACTTGAGAAATATATACATAACTTTATAATGACATTCGAGGAAATTGTGTACAAACTACAAGTAATGATGTATAATGTTTTACAAAATAATCTTGAAACGTTCGAAAATAACAGTAGACAAAAACAAAGTGCTGCATTCTTTCGGTAAATCATTTAAGGAGAAAACAGAAATCTGTATGTAATGCTGTGAGTTTTATTTGCCGTTATCCAGCGCCAAAACTTGTCGATCAAGAAAGAAGTGTACAGAGGACCCAACCTATAATCGTAAAATTGATAACAGGCCTCATTATAAAACTCTTTCTAGTGTCCTCGCCATTAAATAAACAACACACGCGCAAGCAAAAGAATACAAAGGAGAAAAATATAAAAAAGAACTGCTTGAGCTGCTTCACCTCGAAAGCAAAGAGATAGAGACAGCAATAAGCAAAGCAGCTGGTGGTGCATATCCAACGAAGGTCGCGCGCGGCGTTTCAGCTGATTTTGCTTTCGCGGGGTCTTTATCGATTGGTCGGTTGTCGACGACGGCCTGCAGGCAAACAGTTATCCCCGAAAATTGGCGGAATCGTTTAATTTTCCAGCGAAAATTGCTTCTTCGCTGTACGTATATACGCTTGAGCTTGAGGGACTTTTCGAGGGTAGCTGCCTATCGCGTCGGGGGTAGGTCGCGTGCGCGTTGGTTCAATTAATTGTTAATACGGCCAGAGAGGCGCGCTGCGGTGTACGTGTATTGGTAGGTTCGAATAAATTTTAGATGACGGTGCGTTGTGTCGCGCACGCGTTCGTAAATCGAATGGGGGAGGGTGTCTTTGACAAAATTCTGCCCGATGCGAGTGGATGGCATTTGGCGCAGACAATCGCTTGATTTCAATTGTTATTGCGTTATTCTGCCTGAAACAGTTATCCAGCCAAACTAACTTTATCATGAGTGATCATAAAAATGTATCGAGTTAAATGAACAACTGTACAAATAGCACCGGTGACAGTGAGTTTCCTAACGAAAAAGAAAAGAGCTACATCGTGGCGTTCTGTCACGCAACATTTCCATCTAGACGAGTAATACGCAAGAAGGGTTAAGAAACCAGGCGACGTTTAGCTGTCTCTGTCTTTCGTTTGTAATGCAGAGCTGTGTAACGCGGCTGTGTCTGTTGTGTGCTCAGTTGTTTATTAAACGAATGAAAATAGAAATTTGACGTCGATTTTAGGAATAAGAAGCATCGAGCAAAAGAACCAACTCCCATCAATGACAAACACTTTGTAAACCATGATCGCCTTTCTTCTGCATATCTGTTTCGCTTTCGACCAGCGCTGGAATGAATGTAAGTGTGTAATCCAGATATAGGTTTCGTAAAATTGTACGCTGCCTTGCCGAGATGCCCCTTGGCCGGCGAGGCAGAAACGTATCGCGACGAAAAGCTACGCTCGTGTCTGCGTGTCAACAATTTTCGTACGGCACAAGCTCCGAGTGCATCCAGGCTCAGTGCAAACTCTATTCCGCACGCACGCCCTCGTCAAACAAAGAAAGTCTTTTGAAGGAAGTATAATCCCCCCCCCCCCCCCCCCCCCCCCACCCGACGCCTTCCCTTTTTTCCTTTTGCAAATCAAAAGGACTTTGTATGCGCGTGCGTTTGCAGCTGCAGCGGCAGCAGCTGCTGTTGCACTCGAATAATTATTTATCTTGCCCCGGCAAAAGAGGAAGTCAGCCGTGCTCGGACGTTGGCAATCGGCCGTCGCTCACTCACGTACACACAGGGCTCAGTGCTATATGTGCTCGAAGTTGTGCTTGAAATTCGCGTTACGAAGAGACGTCGCGCTTCTCGTTGCCTCCGCAAGCGAGGAGCGAATCGATTTCTCGACCTTGCCGCGATGATATTCACCGCGTGTGCTAATTGCTCGCCGGACCCAACATTCGGATTATTCGCCTCAGATATTTTTGAGCAAAGCAAAATTGGGCATCGCTTACGTGGCTGAAGTACGTTAAGATTCGACGAAAATACGTCTAAAGGTGAATAAACGTAGAGCTGTGGCAAGGGCTGTCGCGTGTTTCTGCGCGCGTGATCCGTCTTTTAAATCTCCTTACAGCGGTTTTCACCTCTCCGCCCCTTCTCGACTTAAAACCCCTTGTGTAGCTGCGTTACGATGCACACGATGTAACACAAATTTTTGTTACGTGAGTTCAGAGTAAGGATGTACAAGAGCTCTCAGTCGCGAAATCGTTTAAACCTTCTTAATATCCGCGTCACCGCACATGTACTTTCTTGAACTCGAACTTGCCATACTTTCGGCCGGTGACGTTTGTCCTTTCTTTTTCTCACTCTCGAGATAACGTAACGTAGGTTGCATAGCCAGTGGAACTGCACAGTTACGCAGTGGCCTAAATTTGAAGCAGATGGCAACTTTCGCTGTTCGTTAGTCGATGCATGTGCCGGCAACGAGAAAATGCAGAGTCGACCGATCAATCATCTTTCTCTCAAGCCGTCTGCCAGAAAATTTCGCGCGCGCGCGCGACACAATCACGCGAGAAAGTGGGCCGCTTTCCTTATTATACTTGGCGCCGATTATTTATTCGATCATATCTTACGCGAGAGAGTGAGTCACGATTCCCCCTTTCTTCGTCGTCTCTTGCAGCAGGGCGTTCGATCGGCAAGTGCGCGCGTCTACCGCGGTCGAACGACACAGTACAAGGAGCGAAAAAGCGAAGCGTCCACTTTCCGCGGTGGCGAAGTCTCCGCGTAAAAGTTCATTAAACCTTTGGCCATGGGCAGCAGCGCGGGCCCGGCTTTTCCTCTCGAAGCGAGCATGAGCGCTGCATGCACGATTGACAACGCCGCATGTGAGACACATCCTTGTCGCGCCGCGCGCTGCCAATGTATAATAGCCACTTCCTGCCCCCGCGCGCGACGCTGGCGACGGCCGAACGGCTGCCTCTCCCGCGCTGACAACCGAGTGAAAACGCGCGCGCGTGAAAAATTCTCTAGGCTCTCTTTTTTTTCTTTTTTTTTTTTTTTTTTCGAAAAGTAATTAGCGATGCTAGGCCTTGGCTACGAGACAGAGAGAAATCAAGGCTAGTTATATTCTACTCCAGCTGATATTAGCTACATTGTTATTGATCGAGAGAAATCGCGAGTTGTATACTAATAGGTATAAATTTGGTATAGAAATTTGCGAGAAAACATCCGATTAGAGAGGAAGCGAATAGTGGCTGCTGCGTATACTTGGAGAAACAATTAGTCGAGGATCGTTATGTACGCGACGCCACGAAGAATGGGAAGGACGAACAGCGTTGCCTTTTTTTTCGCGCGCGCTTCAAGTGTTGGGACTGCGCGACGTGGACGCTGGCAGCAACTCAAATTATTAACTGCCGAACTGTAATAGCCGAGTGGTATAGACGAGGCAATTGGACCAAACGCTTTTCACTCGCGACCGCCTCGGAAGAAACTCGCCGAGTGGCCGAAGGGAGCAAAAAGAAACAAGCAACTCGGCGATCCCGCGCGGTGACGAGCGAGGCAGCCGATACCGCGCGATACCTCGCCGAGACGAAAAAAGCACGGCAGCAGCTAAGAAACAGGTGCGTTACGGGCCGCGTGCTTCTTCTCCCGGCTCGCGCCGCTCGTTTTCGCTTTTAATAGAGCGTTACGAGCGAGCGAGTGCCGGCGCGCCGCGCTAGCTGCTGCTCTCGGCGATCATCCTTGACGCCCCGCGAGACACCCGGAGGACAATGCGATCCACGGGTACTCGCGCTCCTCCTCGACGCGTCGCTGCTCTCGTCGCCCTCCGACCTGGATGTCCGCGATTTTCGCGGCGAAGACGAAGATGCACGGCAGCCTTGGCGGCGCGGGACGCCGGCAAGCCGAAGGAGGGGAGGCCACGGTGTAAATAACCTCGGCAGGAATGCCGCGGCGCTGCCCGACATTCGTCGCTATTGCGCGCCACCGAGTTTTTCGGCGGAGGGGGGGGGAGGGCTGGTTCGGAGAGCGAGATTGCCATTTCGGGAATGCGTCGCGTGGTGACGCTCGCCCCAGCGGACTAATACCTACTCGCCAACAACTTCTTGCATACTTCCAAAAGTCATATCTTGCGCTCTATCGATGAGCTCTTGCCTTGCTTGCTTATCCTCTCTAGACACGTCTCGAAGCTTATAGATCGGCATTATACGGGCGCGAGAGTGATTACATATGAGTTGGTGCGCCGTTAGAACGTGATTCGCTCTTTTTTCTCTTTCGAAAATCCTTGTCTAATTAGTGCAAAAACTACTTTACGGCTTCACGCGCGGTGATTAGTTGGTTGCGCGATTTACATGCGCGGTCCAATCATTTTCAACCACTTGGAATTAACGATTTCGGTTTCCTCGTCACGAAGGCCAGATATATCAGCTGCACGAGTGAAAATTATTCAAAGGATAATTACAGTCACGTTTCAATTATTCGACTGGCAATTGCCTTTGCTATCTAACCGAAGAGCCGCTCATCCAAAA